GCTACAGACCTATTTTTCATAATTATAAAAATTTAAATGATAAAATCAAATATACAAGTGGCTGGACACTTACAGTTACTTAATGGCATAACCACAAAAGAGGAACTAATTTAAAGGGACCGAAGGACAATAATTTAACTTAATATATACGAAGTAAGATATATCATGAGGACAAAGGGTGTTGAAAGTAATCGCTGTTATGGTTTATTATGAAGAAATACTGTTACTGAATAGTTGCCTGTGTTTGCTCCTTGCCTTACATCCCTGCTTTTTTTTTCTCACTGAGAGCAGCTAAGAAGTTTCGTATGCACTAATCTTTATCTGAGTCAGATTCTTAGTAACCAACCTGCAGCCTGGGGAACTTGACCGTGCTAGCAAATGCTACTTAGAATTATCTTGTGTCATAACACACTGCTACCTTGAATCTGTGTAGAAATATTTTGCTGTTTTTAAAATGATTCTCCCTAATGAGGGTTTTTAGTCACAATAGAATTTCTGTAACTGCTTTGTTTTCTGGTGTTGAACACACAGATACTTTCTAGTTTTGTATTTTGAGGAAACTGTAATCGCTCCATCAGCTAGTCACACCTTTAGAATAATTTGGAACACTCCCTCAATACAAAGACCACAACATGTGACATTAAATTTCCTTTTTTATTGAGAAATTAAGATATCAAGGTATTTATAAATCTGGTTATTAAAGAGAAAACACTAAGCAACTCAATACAAAGTAGTTGGCTTTCAAGTTCCTATTTCTAGTCTAGATCCTTTTCTCACCTCTTGAAAGGCCAGCGCATTCTCCTTACTCAGGTTCAGCCTTATTGCCCTTATCATAAGAGCCGCTCCTATGACGCATTAAAATGAATTTCATTTTACCTTATTTCCCCATTTCCTCCTTCTTATCTATCACCATCTGCATGGATGTCACCTTCTCACTTGCTAATCTCTAGTCTACCAGAATGCACAGCTTGGGGAATATATGCATGTTTACTGTCTCATTCTAAGTGCCCAGTGTGAAAAAGCAGAAATCAACAAATATTTGTAAACTGTATAAATTAGTGAAAATCTCCTGAGTAGTGTATATCCAAAACCATCCCGTGAGGAAGGGTGGCCTGTGATCCCAGTATTAGCCCTGCAGATAACTTTGCACTAAGGACGATGGTGTGAGGCCAAATTTCAGCTAACAACTTATCAGATGACCAAGCCCTTGAACTCTAAAATCTGAAAAGATTTCTAGAGTCCTCCCTCCTATAGATTTTCCCACTGAGGGAGTTTATGAACATGCATGCCAACAAGTCTTGGTCAAAGGCCCTGGACTGACCTAAGCAGTTTCCTTCATCTCAAATCCTTCCTGGAAGGTCCCGAGCTCAAGATAATTGTTTTCTGCAACACCTAGCCTCATCTGCCAAGAGGTGAGGCAGTATCCACAAATCCACAAAGATCCTCTGCCATCCTGTCCCCATGAGCAGCTGATTATACACCTGTATTTGTATTCATTCTATCTTCCCCACCACCCTGCAGAGTAGAAAGGTGTTTGTCCAAGGACTTCAGGTTATAAGCAGTTCATTTCTCATCACATACTTTGATTTTTATATAACCCATAAGCATTGATAGCTTCCAGGCAAAAATTTGTGTGGAATGAAGTAAGAGCCTGGAAATACCCTTTCAACTAACCTATGGTAAAATGAATGAAAAAGATCACATCAGCATCTGAGCACGGAAGGTTTGGGTAATGATACAGCACTACATTGCCAAGGACTGTATTAGCTCCCTAGGGCTGCTGTAACAAAGTACCCATGACTTAAACAATGGAAACAGATCATATCATCGGCTTTAGAAGCTACAGTCTGAGATCAGCGTGTCCTTAGGTTTGAGCCATGCCTCTCAGCTTCTTGTGTTTTTCTGGCAATCTTGCTGTCCCTTGGCATGTAAAGACATCATCCTGGTTTCTTCATCTTCACACAGTGTTCTCCTTGTATGCATGTTCAGTGTCCGAGTCTCCATTTTTCATAAGGACACTGCTGTACTGAGTACCTTACTCCAGTGTGACTTTATACTAACTAGCTAGGATCCTATATTCAATCAAGGTCATGTTCTGGGGTGCTGAGGGTGTAGACTTCAACAAATGAATTTGGGGTGGGACACAATTCAGACCATAATGTTAGGGTTCCAAACAGCAGCAGCTTCCCCCCTCCCCAACAGGGACCTACAGACTTTGGAGCCCAAAAAAGGGAACTGAGCTGATAAGAACCTTGACCTTTGAAGTCAAGGGAAACAAACTCTGCTGAGAAGCAGCCTGCCTTTCCTCTGACCTCCAAAGATAAGATAAGCAGATTCTACCTGATAACCAGAGATTTTAGAAGTTGTTTATCACAACAGCTTTTCTCTTATCTTAAGAAGGAAAAAGTAAACACTTCCAGACCCTAATCCTACCTGCTTTTCCTGCTTCCCCCTCCCTGATTTCTCCCCCAAACATTCCCCACTTCTACACCCTAAAGCCCCCATATATAAAGTCCCAGCTCACAGCCCGTGGGCTGACACCTTTCCCTTCCCTGCCCTTCGCTGACATCTTTCCCTTCCCCAAGGGAAAGGTGCCCCGTGCGAAATAAAGCTGTATCCCGCTGAGAATTCCATCTGTGCCTCGGTGCCTTCCTCCATCCGCTCGTGCTCTCCACCACACGCTCTCTCCAACATTTTTACCTATCACATAACAATGACTGTTAAGTATTAAAGTCCTTGTTTAGCAGATATAAAGTCCATAATCATCAGATAAATGTTCTTAGTTTATACATGTTAACTAATCACTAGCATGCCAAAGACTTATTAATGTCACACACCGTGTTAGCCAGTGCATTAATGTTCTTATTGAGACTCCTAGAAACAGATGAGAAATGGTGACTTCGAGAAGAGAAGTTGTTTTCATAGGATTATCTAGCTTCTTTGCCAAAAGAGAAATATCACACTCTTGACCAGTCAAAATTCATGCAGCGACCCACTTACTAGATTATAGCGACTAGGTACAAGCACAGGCTATAAGCCTTCAGGAAACTGATTTCTTTAACCACTGCTCTTCCTGCTGAAAATCTAAGAGTTGCTAAGATTTGCCAGAAGCCTGTAGGAGATGCAGAAAGAATTTTCAGAGTGGCCTGTTTGATAAGCAAGTCTTGTAGCTCAGTTTCAGTTCACCTCAGAACAAGGCTTGAGACTCTACAAGGAGAAAAAAGCCACAGGAAAAACTGAACCCTGAACATAAGACATTTTCTGTTTTCATTTGAAAATGAGGCGAGAGAACTAAGACCAGGTGTCTGCTCTTCTCCATGCCAAAAGGAAGTAAAGAGAAGCTGTCTAGCAAGAGGGACTTTCTTTCCACAGTGTTTTACTACTTAAGTTAATTTTAATATTAATTCTAAATATAACATTTGATTTTTATTCAGAAGTATGTTTTTAAATTGGAACAATAAAATTAGATAAAAAGGGTTCAAATAGCCTGTAATTCTAACAGCCAGACTGATCACAGAAGACATTTTGATATGGTCTAGATCTTGTTTCCATGACAAGTATTTTTATTTTGACTTTTAGTAATTTTCAAAATTTGACTTAAACAGTGTATTGGGGCCTAATTCTTACATTCCACTAAGCCTTTTCCAGTATTATTCAATTATTTTAATTACTGATTTAATATGTACAGTTAACATGATATATTTAAGACATCTCCCATTGTTTGATATTTAATGTAGCTTCAAATTGTCTTTTTTTACATTTTTATTAAGCTTTTGTAGTTTCATACAACAGTTCTTAATCAAATTTAGATCCCCTCCCCCAGCCGTGCCTTCTCCATCCCCCCACAAACCTCATGTATTCTGCCATACATGTTAAGTCCCATTCATTCAGGCATTCGTACCCAAATGTCCTTCAGTGTAAATGCGTCAACTGAAGTCTAGTCAGTCACTAGACTGAAGACTATTGGAGACTGATTGCTTCTGGGTGAGGGAGAGCATGACTTACATATGATCACTAAATGGGCTGACTAGACTCCAATGGATATAGTTACAAATTGGTTTTTTTTAATTCCTAAAATACAAATATTTTAAAAAATCTTAAAAATTCATGTCATGTTGACCAATTCCCAGCAAAAAGTAGTAAATCAAATTTCCTATTAGAATTAAGTAAGAATTTGTAAATTTATTTTTACATTTATTTGTTGTGTGTGATATATATATATATATATATATAGCTATGTATGATCCTCATGTATGGGTATGTATGATGTGTGTGGGGGTGAACATGCCATGGTGTGCATGTTGAGGTTCCAAGGGATTAAACTCAGGTCATCAGGTTTGGAGGCAAGTGCATTTACCCTCTGAGCCATCTCATTTGCATTAAGAATTTATAGAGGCTATATTGCTATATAAAGCAGACGTGGAACTGAAAAGATTTACTTGTAACAAGCTCCTGTTACTGAGCTAGTCTATGGACAGTCTATGTGCTAACCAGTATATGATCTTTATGTTACAGCCCTATGTTACTGAAAATCCAGTCTAGGAAAAGCATAGCAGGACTGGTTTCTCTAGATTTAATTCACTAGTTTTTTCTAACTTTATTTATATACTTTAATGACTTTTAAGAGACATGAAATTCAAACAAGAATACTCACTAGGCTTGATGAATGCCAAGAACTTGGAAGTATTCATTTGGAGAGACTTTAAGATGCACAAATACGATCATTATCCCCCACTCCAGTATTTTATCAACCGTGTGATACCTCTATATAAGAAGCACAAGTATCTCATGCAAGAGCAAATGCTAACAATTATGCAGTTAATTTTGAGGAAGTGAAAGAATACCTTGGGCTTGATAAGACAAATGTTATTAAATACTGAAGTCTCAAAGCATTATTGATAAGAAAGAGAAGATTGGAAACCACAGAATCTTGGTTATTCAGTAGGCCGAGTGGCACAGTAGCTGACTGTGGCCTCTTCATCCCTCTGTCTTCGCCCCAGGTGTTGGGAGGAGCTTAGACTTGACCAGCAGCAGCTTCTGGATGGGATCTCTGAGCTGGACATCAAGACGGGAGGAGTCCCCTCGCAGCTGCTGGTGCATGGGGCCCTGGCCTTCCCTCTGGGGCTCAATGCCTCCTTCAGCTGCTTCCTGGCGGCTGCCCGCTATGGCCGTGGCCGTGTGGTGTTGGCTGCCCATGAGGCCTTGCTCTGTGCTTCAAAGATGGAGCCCTTTTTGCTCAATGCTGTACGATGGTTGTCCAGAGGCCAGACCGGCAAAGTTGGGGTGAACAAAAGTCTCAAGGATCTGTGTTCCCTGCTGTTGAATCATGGGTTGGAAAGCAGCCTGGAGTCCCATCTGACTAGTGACTTGTGTGTCTACTGCTGTTCGGCTTATAGCGACCAGGAGGCCAAGAGGCTGCAGGAGTTTGTAGCTGAGGGTGGGGGGTTGCTCATCGGTGGCCAATCCTGGTGGTGGGCCTCCCAGAATCCAGGCTGCTCTGCTTTGGCCGGTTTCCCCGGGAATGTCATCCTTAACAGCCTTGGTCTCAGCATCCTGCCTCAGACTCTCAGCCCAGGCCGCTTCCCTGTCCTTCCTACAAAAAGGAGGAGCTACCACTTCCGCAAGGCTCTGTCTGAGTTCCAGGCTATGTTGGACCACAAGGGTGGGAACTTGGAAAAGAATTGTCTAGCAAGGTTGGGTGTAGATGCTGCAGGCTTCTTGAAGATTCCTGCACAGGGCATCCCTGCTTATACATCTTTGCATCGGCTCCTGAGGAAGATGTTGAGACAATCTGGCCTTCCAGCTGTGAGCAAGAAAAACCCAGTTGCCTGTGACTCCTGTGAGGCCGTGATGCTCTGTCTGGCCACAGAACTGGCACACTCAGGGACTGACTGCTCCCAGCTAACCCAGGGAGTTGCCACTTCGACCTGTTCCTCCAATCTGTGTCCCTCGGAGCACCCCATCACTGTGGAGATCAGTGGAACCAACCCAGGTACAGAGTGAAGAGAGAGTTCCCAAGTATCCATGGGCAGGGGGGAGAGTGGGCTTTTCTGACTTTGCCGGACCTAAAAGGTACTGATCCTTAGGAAGGCCAGTCCTGTGCTTTGCAGGTGACAATGGGAGCTGTGGTTCTGTTTAAGGTCTGGGAAGGATGAGTCCAGGAAATATGGAGGACTGGGGGTTCAGGGAAGAGAAGTTGCTCTGTGGAAGACTCCAGGTGGAGATGGGGTGGTGTGGGAACACAGAACTCAGTCTTCTCATTGACTTTTTTCAGGTAAGAGTGATGCTTGGATGAGCACTGGGCTCTACCTCCTGGAAGGACAAAGCGCAGAGGTCTCTTTGTCTGAAGGTGCTATCTCTGCTGGCCTGAAGGTAAGGTTAGATAACCTACAGCCAGCCCCTCCCGAAACACAGCCAGGGTTTTTCCATACCACAGTTCCCCTACTGTGTCTATGCAGAAGGAGACTGAGGAGGGATTATTCTGCCCCTCTTAGATTGTATATGGAACAGCTGAAGTTCAAACTACTCTAACAGCAGATCCAAGGCTCAGTCCTAAGCCTGATTTCCATGTGCGGCAATTTTACCAACTGATGTGAGAAGGAAGAGAAACAACTGTCACATACCAGAAGTCACCTGTTTTCCTGATGGCAGAGGCCTGAGATTTACCACCTTATCTTGACACCTAATAGATGTGCTTAATCCTATTACCTACATCAGGGAAAAACTACCTTTCATGCAGAATTTAAATTCTTCTGCCCCTCAAGTCTGAGCATCACCTCACCTCCCACTATAGTAAGAGACTTTTTTGTATCGGCAATCTCTCTGGAGTTATCTGCCTAAACCCCAAAAATGCAATCCCAAGTCTCCAGACTAAGCTCAGCTCCCAGGTCAGATCCTGTGCATTCTGGATGGCCTTCTGCCTGTTTGCAGAAGGCAGACTGGGATACCCTGGCTCATTTCCAACATCAGAGTCACATCACTGCTTGGGTCTGGTGTCAGGGCCCAGGATTCTGCCTGGTAGTAAGATACCACAAACTCTTCCTCAGTTACTCCTGGTGTTTCATCTACCTATGTCTAATGGAGATCCACCATGGGGTTGTTTTATATCCCTGAATATAATCAGATGTACTTTTAAGTCTGTGTGACTTTGGAGTGCTACAGTTTCATAGATTCTATGCATCCCTCACAGAAAAGGGGAGTTGAAGTGTCATATAAATTGTCAACCTCCATATGCCCCTAACAAATCCTACCCACATCTCAGGGCCTCTCCTTCCTTATACATGGTGCAATTGTCTGTCCAGGTACAGGTTGGGTGTCACACTGATGACCTCAGTGGGGCCAGAAAGCTGTCTCGAGCCCCTGTTGTAACTCACCAGTGTTGTATGGACAGGACCCAGCGGTCAGTCTCCTGCCTCTGGGGTGGTCTGCTGTACATCATTGTGCCCAAGGGATCTCAACTCGGCCCTGTGTCTGTTTCCATCAGGAGGGCAGTGCGTGCCCCATACTACAAGCTGGGTGAGTGAACTGGGCATTAAAGGAGGTGCCTTGGTGATTCTGGGCTGGTTGCTGAGGAGGGAGAGTAACAAGGAGAGAGAGAAAAGGAGAAAAGGGAGGAAACACTAGGAATGTGCAGAGAGGAGACAGATCACCTTGTGTCCATGGAGACTTCAAGGTAGAATGGAGAGAAGTCTGGCCATGTGTCCTGCACTGCATAGCCTATAGACCTGTGTGATAGCAGGTCCTTATTTCAGTGTTTTCCTCCTGGGGTTCCACTCATATTTTTTCAGCTCAAAGTAAAGTTGGGGAAGTGAGTGGCAGGTTCCATGATATTTATTTCCAGGTAAGACATCTCAGGAGGAGTGGAGGAGCTGTGTCCAGGAGAACATGGGACCCTGGGGGGAGCTAGCTACAGAAAACATCATCCTGACGGTGCCAACTGCCAGCCTCCGGACTCTGAAGGATCCAGAGCCCCTGCTTCAACTCTGGGACAGGATGATGCAGGCCATAGCCAGGCTGGCAGCTCAGCCCTTCCCTTTCCTGCAACCTGAGAGGATTGTTGCTGATGTGCAGATCTCAGCCGGTGAGTGGTCCAGGGGAGTGCTCCGGGTGAGTAAACCCCATTTTGTTTTTATTTTGTCTTACTTGTAGTGTCCATGATTTGTAAAGCATTATTTTTTTTATTAAAACACCAGGGAAAAGACATAAATAGATTTGTCATGATGGAAGTGAAAGATCTTTACAAGTAGAAGGAAAACCATTGACATCTTCCAAGATGCAATTTCATAAGATAGAAATTAACCTTAGAAACCTGGTGCTGAGAGGCCACTATTGTCCATTAGGGTCTTTTCAAAGAGAACAGAGTGAACTACTTTCTCCAAATAGACGTCAGAATTGAAAATGGAGAAGAGGACTGAATAAAGAAACCTATGCTAGGAGCCACTAAAGAGTGGCTATAGAAAGAAACTTAGGAAGGAGTCAGAACTCTGGTTTCCACATGGGGAAGATGCCTCTGGATCTTAATTTTCATATCTACAAAAAAGGACAAAACCATTTCTATCACAGGGCACAAACCTGGTTAACAATGCAGATTTGGGGTGGGTGGGTGGGTGAAGGAAAACTGACATTGCCCTAGCTTCTCAGATCCAGACATAGGGCATGATGCGACGGACACAGGAGTAATGACAACGGCTCATGCCAACGTAGCTCTCCCAAGACAACAAGGCACCAAATACCAGCAAGGACGTAAAGTATCTTCCTGTTCCTAAGAGTCAGAGTGAGGAGAAGGCAAAACTCAGTTGGTAAAGGCTGGGAAAGGGTCAAGTACCACAGGAAAGCCATCTACTTTCTAACTGGTACAAATATTCCGGAATTACTGGACACAACCAGGATGGTGAGGGAAAAGTTCCACAATGGAAGGAGTAGAGAGAGAGAGTTAAGATGGACCCTGCTTTCACGCTCCATCTCTGTTTACATCCCCAGGCTGGATGCACTCAGGTTACCCCATCATGTGTCACCTGGAGTCTGTGCAGGAGCTTATCAATGTGACAAGCATAACAAATAAAGGCCTGTGGGGACCCATCCACGAGCTGGGCCACAACCAGCAGCAAGGTGGCTGGGAGTTCCCACCACATACCACTGAGGCCACCTGCAACCTCTGGTCTGTCTATGTGCACGAGACAGTCCTGGGGATCCCCAGGGCTCAGGCCCACTCCGCTCTGAAGCCTGTAGAACGGGAAAAGAGAATCAAAGAACATCTTCAGAAGGGTGCACCCCTCTGTAACTGGCATGTGTGGACGGCTCTGGAGACATACCTACAGGTACTGAGCAGAGGTGCCGGCAGGCAGGGCTGACAGACTCCTCAGTCCTATAGTATCCTCATACCAGAGCTATCAACTTCTATATGACCCCCACCGACTCAGAACCAGCACCACCCCTGGATGTGGGACACCCTTGGCAAGTCTCAAATCATATACTTATATAATCAAAATGACATCTGTCCACTCCCCAACCCATGATTTTGCAGTATAAGAGGAAATTAAAAGTATTGTGAGAAATTAAAGTGCACATGTATCTGTATTAGCTTGAACTTTGGTTAGAGCAAAAGTTCTGAGTCAAATATTCCTGGAACCGAGCCACAACTCTGCCTCTCACTGCTTTGTTCTTTTGCCCCTAAAAACTGTTCCTTGATAGTCTTTGATTTCCTCACCTTCATTTTACAGATCGAGGGTTTGTTAACATCTTCTAATGACAACCGCAGGGCAACTACATTACAGGTAGATATTGTAGGAAATAAATGTGCTAATGAGGTTCCCAGACTTTGGTGACCACATTAGAACAAGAAGCATTGTTTAAATAAATAACCAACCAACCCAATGAATGGACACTGAAGTTGTGAAGCCAGTCCACTTCCTGTGGGAAAAGCATCTGTCCCTGCCCTCCTAATTATGCTTCCAATCAATTTTAATGTTTTCAAACGTCAGAGCTGCAAAAGCACCATATCAGACCTTCTGCAATGTCTACTGCAACTCTCTACAGAGGGTTTACAAAGTCCTCTGGTCACAGGGGCTCAAATTTATTGTTCAGAATTTAAGCAACCTGCTCCATAGCACCCATTTAAGTGCTCGATCTAGAGCTTAAAATCAGGAGTTAATGACAAACCCAAGCTTTTACACAACTATACTTTGATCTCTCCCTTTCACTGATCTTTGAAGAGTGAATGAGAGATAGTCCTAGTCAATGAGTAACTTTCTCATACAGACAGACCTTAATGGATGTGCAAGTTTAGACCCACAATTCTGTTCTGTCCACCCAGCCACTCTCTGTGGAACCCTTAGCCTCAATTCACTAACACTATGAAGGGACCCATTACCATCTGCTCCCTCCCCCTGCTGGAGCACTCTCCACATTCTTCCTGCTGTGGTCACCTTAGCTCTGGTCTTCCCTAATCTTCCTTCAGTTTAATCCACTGGCCTCCTACAGTGCTCTAGCATCTTCCCCCCCCATTCAATAGTTCCTCAACCACACTACTCTTCAAATAAAGTTGATAATCCATCTCTAAAACTCTTTAAGATCTTTTATGTGCCAGATCAGGTTGAGCTACTTAGCAGGGTATAGAAGGCCCTTCACGATCAGACTTTCAGCAGTATTCCCCAACTGCATGCCCTCACTCTCGCCTCCGTATTTACCCTCCACTGCACACTTATTTACTACTTGAATTCATGGGCACACCTTGCTGCTTCAGGGTTCTGTACCTCCCATGTTTCCTGCCTACCTCTGAAACAAGCTCACGCATCTTGACTGTTTCCTGTCAAGTGTGACAATTCAGCTCTGTGGTAGCCCTGTCTTCCAGACAGCATCTCTCCTTGGCAACCCAAATTATGTAGTAATTTGTCTGTTTACATCTGTTTCTCTCCCACTGTTCTGTGCCCTGTGGAGAGACAAGAGTTCTTCAACATTTTTAAGTAGCACAAAATCTGGCTTGGTGCAGATTTCTAGGTCATAAATATCACATGTTTAATAGGTGTTTAATCTGCCGATGTGTTAATTCATAAGCCAGAGGCCAACACAGCAAGAAAAATGAGCGACAACGAAGGTACAACAGTGAGACTCTGGGAATTCTGTCCTTTACTTTTCAGATTTGCAGTTCTTATCCATAAAATGGGGGCAGGGCATTAGGGAACCCTGCTAATGAATTTCTATAATCTTAATTCTTTCTTTCATCTCTCGCAATCTCTCCATATACAGATATACATATAGACGTAAATTTGTGGTTTTGAGACATATTCTCACACTGTAGCCAAGGCTAGCCTGGAATACACTATGTAGCCCAAGCTGTCTTAAACTCATGGCAATCCCCGTTCCTCAGCTTCCCAAGTGCTGGGTTGCCTGATTCTTTCCTTTTTGTCCTACAAACAGCATTCCACACAATAATATAGTACCATACAATAGTCATAGATCTGAACGGTCTGTTGATAGGTAAGTATTACTTCATGTCTGGAACGTGCTAGTGGTCACCAGCTTTGGGACTCCTGACAGGCCAAATATGTAGAATGTGACAGTTTCTCAACTCAGGCTGAGGAAAGCACTGACAGTCTGGGGCTATGGACCTTTTTATTAAAACTAATAATAGAAGCCATCATTTATGGAATAACGTTTCATGTTAGGGTTCCAGGGAACTTCTTTACAAAGTAAGGAGTACAATACCATGGCAAAGAGCTTCAGTGATCCAATGAGGTGGTGTTGATGTGCAGCTGCAGGATGGGGAGACAGGAGAACAACAAGAATTGAGGCTGATGATGCTGACAGTGAAACATACGTCCTCAGTCAGTTTGGGAACTGAACATCCCATTTTCTTCTTTCTTCTCTCTCTCTCTAGCTCCAGGAGACCTTTGGGTGGGAGCCATTCACCCAGCTCTTTGCTGACTACCAGACCCTCTCTGGTCTCCCTGAAGACAATGCTAGCAAGATGAATCTATGGGCGAAGAAGTTCTCTGAAGCCGTGCAGAAGAACTTGGCCCCTTTCTTTGAGGCCTGGGGCTGGCCTATCCAGAAGGAAGTGGCTGACAGTCTGGCCCACCTGCCTTGCTGGCTGGATCACCCCCTGAGGGTGTACATGAGCACTCAGGAGTAACAGATTTACAGCAGGTAGAGAGGGGCATAAAGACCACGGACCAGTTTCACCAGTGTGTTCTGACCTGAGACACTCAGTGCCTTAGCTTGTTCTCAATTATATGCTTTTCCAAACATATTTTGGTTTTTTTTAAATAACATTCCAAGCTTTCTTGAGCATACAAGGCTCCTTATGAGAATAATCCTAGAAAATGTCCCATTCTGTATCGTCAGGCACATTTCCCTTGATTTCACCCGTATCCTTGAGCAGGTGTTTTATACATGAAAGACATTCGGTAAGTTGGTAAGTTTTTGCTCAATGAAAGAGAGATAAAGACCCCTGACTCATAAGGAGCAGGCAGTCCATGAGCCTAGGCTTTGTGGGAAGTGTTTTCCATGAGTTAGCACAGATAATCTGCCAACAGTCTTCCAACATAGGCACTGCTACCATCCCCATATCATTCATGACAGAACCAACACTTAGAGGTATTAACCATAATAAGAGAGAATGTCAGAGCTTGACAGAAGTCCACAGCAATGGCAAACTGTAACGGCAAGTTTATCTTTGATGAATTTGCAATTTAAACAAAAATTTGCCCAGAAAATAGGTAAAAGGAAGTTCGACAAGCTCTAATTTTCCCCCATCTTACCATTAAATTTTGGTTAAACATCAAATTGAAACTCTAAATAGGTTTGTGTTGGTAAAACCCCTTGCCTGAAGGAGACATATAAATAATGTCCCTCCATTGGTCCCAATGACAAATAGAGATGATTGCACCAAAGTGCACCAATAAGTGTACTTTTTTATTGGGCTTACTTACAGAGCAGTAGGTTAGGGCTTGCTTACAGGAGTGTAGATGCTCCCTTGTTAAGATTGAACCTGGAAAGTCTTCATCCAAGCATGATGGCTTCCCCTTAGCCCCCACCCCGACCCCCTCCTCCCTTAGTCTCCCAGCCTACACACTCTAGTCCTTCCCCATGGTCACATGCAATTAAGAGTGAATTGTCCACCACTGGGTTGTGAGGTGTGGGTGGATACTCAGGTGAAGGTCCAGTGACTCTCCCTGCCCCCTGTATGGAGGCATCAACAGTCGACAAACCCAGCTGTGATAATATTTGGAAAGCTTAGCAAATGGACACAGATAAGATTTAGGAAGATGGCATCTGACTGACTTCATGGACAATCTTGTACATTTTGGCATCTGATTTTCTGTTTACTTCAGCAAATGATCTTCCTAAGGTTGATCCAGAATAGAGAAGGCATCTGAGCCCAGGCATTTCAATTCCAGAACTGGTGGTATTCTTATTCATGATGTGAGGGAGGAGTAAGTAGATGGGTAATGCTGGGTTTAATGGGTTGCCTAAGAGACAGAAACAAAACCTAACTCTTTCCACACCCTCTCTCTGAGTCCTGTGATTCCTTCTCTCTCCTGCAGACTGACTCTGGCTTCACCTCTTGTTTCTATGCTCCTAGTTAATTGCCTGTGACTGAAATGCTTCTAGGTTACCTGAACACAGAAAACTAATTTTTCTGCCCTTAATAAGTATCATCCATGATTTCCGGAACCTTTACTTCCACAATTATATAGTTCTAAGGCTAGAAAATGTATTAGGAAAAAAAATTCTAAAACAGTAGGCTAAGACAAACTCCCATTACAGATAGGTGAAGTGGTGACAAGCCCTACCCCAACAGAAGAATTGGCAATTGGCAGGAAGGGGCAGTTTTCTTCTTCAAGGATCCGACCCCAAGAGGCTACTAACCTCCAGTAGATGGCCCTAAATCAAGGGGATCTTTGTGAGTTCAAGGCCAACCTGGGCCAGCCAAGGCTACATAATGAGACAATGTCTCAAAAAAGAAGATGAAGAAACAGAGAAAACAAACAAGAACCACATGGAATTGGGAAGGAATTGGGGGGGGGGATAAAGAAAGAATTAGAGGAGAAGGAGTGGGGGTGGATTTGATCCACATCATATGCATGTATGAAATTCTCAAACAACAGAAAAGAAAATATGCTAGATGCAAATCCAGCTTGTCTATATTTGGAGTCTGTTTCTTGTGGTTTCCCTTAAACTAAATCTTTTTGCTTGGTCACCCCCTCCCTGTATATGGCACTGGTTTGGTTTCTCTCTCATGAACTTCCTTATTACTGGGGTAAAAACCCCCATCGGTTCTTTAGAATCACCAAGTGCAATGCATGGTCCACTTGGTTTAGGGCTTGACCCACTGCTAACAGAAGTAGATACAGGACCCCAGCCTGGTACATCTGACCAATACTTTCTGATCTTGACTAGTTCAAGCGATGGAGGTGGTCCAGGTCAGGCCAGTGAAGTGTATATCATAGACTTTTAGTGGCTAGACTGGGCATCACACATTTCCTTTGGTATTGGGGAGAAAAGCATAATAAAATTGCTCAAACCTGTTAATTATTACAGTTATGTAAGAGACACTTGAGGGATAGTTTCGCATTTTTTGCATATGTTTGGAAATTTCATAATAAACTTGTATTGCCTGTTTTGAAATTTCATAATGGTGTAAGCATATTATTTATTGCTATGGAAATATTTTTAATTTTTGAAAGAATGTCCTAGAAAAAGTGGGGTTGAAGGAGTGGAGAAGCGAGGGAGACGGAGAGGGAGAGGGTGGAGTGGACCACTTCTCTTTTAAATCCTCCATTAGTAATTTAAAATTTCCTGTCAGGTGTGGTGGCACACGCCTTTAATGCAAAAATATACAATAATTTAGCATTTAATACAGTATACCATCCTGATTTTTTTTGAGACAAGGTCTCCCTGTAGCCCCCATCTGTCCCGGAACTCACTATGCAGGCCGAGTTGGCCTCGAGCTCACAGAGATCCGCCTGCCTCTGCCCCAGTGCTGGGATTAAAGAAGTGCACCACCATGCCCGGCAATCCTGATATTTTTTAAACAAAGTAAGTTTAAGTTGTACTTGTTTTCAACCAGCTTCTCTGCTGACACAGCTTCCCATGTCCTGAGGCCTCTGTGTTTGTCAGATCTGTGTTCATCCCTCTTTCCTTTCCCATTAACCATGATGTCAGATAGTCATCTGCTCCTGGATCTTTCTGGCCTCTGTCTGCGTGGCTTTCCTGTGTTTCACAATGGAGTAGAGAAGTTTCTGGCATCTGGGCTTCCAATAGAAGATTAAATAAACCAACATATGCTTCTCAGAATTATATTTTTAGAAGTGAAGAACCATAACCATGACTTGTATTTGTCATAAAAACTTATAATTTTTTATTTTTCCCATGAAATGTTTAATGACCTTTAGACTCAAATAGAAATGGCCCTAATCTTTTGGAAATATAAATATTCCAAATTATATACATATATTTATTAGTGTTCTACCTGCACATTGCAATGCCCATGGAGGCCAGAAGAGGGCATTGTGTCCCCTGGAACTGGAGTTATCTTACTTTTATTTTACCTGTCATCTAACAAAAAATAACTAACACTGTTTAGTGTTTTATTTAATAAAACAAAATCTTGCCCTACAAAGAAAAACATGGAATTTGGGGACCCACACTAAAGTGTCATGGTGGGTGGGAGCATCTAGCCTCTTGGGACTAACAAAGAGGCCTTTCCTAATTCACTCAAAGGCATTCTATGAGCTGACTGTGACTTTGAGAAAGGACCTCTCCATATTAATTTAGACTGATGTATTAGTAACTTTAACCCCCTCCTCCTCCACTTCCTCCTCCTCCTTTATGAGGACAATTATAAGAGGTGCGCTGGTGGTGGTGATGCTGCTGGTGATGGTGAAGTTGGTGACAGCATTAGTGATGGAGTTGGTGATGGTGGTGGTGACAATGTTGGGGCAGAATTGGGGGTGGTGGGAATGGTAGTGGTACTAATCGCTATGTAGTAGCATCCTTCAGATAAAGCCCAAACCCTGGAGTTTCACAGACAAGGTGTTCATGATCCAGGTCTCTCCTCCTCTTCCTCCTTCTCCTCCTCCTCCTCCCCCTCCTCCTCTTCCTCCTCTTTCTTCTTCTTCCTCTCTCCCTCTCTCCTTCCTCCTCCTCCCCCTCCTCCTCTTCCTCCTCTTTCTTCTTCCCCTCCTCCTCCTCCTCCTCCTCCTCCTCCTCATTCTTCTTCCTCTTCGTCATCTTAGCCTAATGATCATTTTCTCAGGCCACATTCTCATGCTTAGGGCTCTAACAGAGTCCGTGATTTCCCTTACACATCAGCCATCAGCTTGGTGAGTACTTGTGTAATGTCTCATTCCCACTGTGTAGAGATTTTGGCAGTGCAGGACAGTATCTCCATATTCACAGCTGGGCCTCCCACCCCAGGAATGGGCCTGTCACATACCAGGCTGGCTGTGGGGATTTCCTGCCCTGACATACTCCATACAAGACTGTAACGATGGGAAAAGATCAGATAAGGAGTGCCAATGTCTGTTCTTGTTCTCTGTCTTCAAAAGACCATCCTTATCCATCCCTGATCAAGAAAATATTTTCACCCTTCCAGAAAGAAAGGAGCATTCCTCCATGGTCTGTTTTTCAGCTCCTGCCTTCAGGCTCCTGCCCTGAGTTCCCTCAGTGATGACTTGTGATCTGGGAGATACCAGATAAAATAAACCCTTTCCTCCCCAAGTTGATTTTTGTTCATGTCTTTATCACAAAAAGACAGTAACTAACATCTTACCAAGGGGACCCAACCCAGCTAGTCCCAGGGAGCGGTGTGGCTAGCTATTTCCATCTGAGAAGTCTTTAAGCAGGGCCCTTGTTTTTTTCCTAGTCTTCCAATAAATTTGGAAGACAGCTTGAATTATTGTCCTTTCACAAAGAACAGCCTGAAGAAATCCAATCATCTTTATTGAGAGTTACATGTGGAAGGAGAGGATACAGCAATAACAGCACCAATAACAAAGCCTTTATTTCCACTCCCTTAGTTGCCTCAAGACAAGTAACTCTCTATTACTGAGCTAGCAAGTGTTGGGAGCTGGAAATCAACATCCAACACAAGCGGACTCACTAAGAAGGGAAACCGAATCACGCAAGACTGCTCACCGTTATTACAAATAAATTACCCTCACTGCAAAGTGGCAGTCAAGCAAAACCCTGCTTTCCTGGTCCTGTGGGGACTGGAACTTGACCTGCAAAGTCAGGTAAATTCAATTTGAATACAGGATGCAATTTTTTGATTTTTTGCTTTTATAGAAGGAAGAATTTATTTGGTTTATGGTTTCGGAGGGTGAGAGTCCACCATGGTGGTGAGGCATGGTGGCAGCGGGGGCCAGAGCAGAAAGCTGGGTACTCACATCTTCAAGCAGGCACAGGAAGCAGAGAAAGACAGACTGGAAGTGGGCAACCTAGATACTCTCAAACCCAGCCCCCAAAGGCATGCTTCTTCCACAATGGCCAAACTTTGTAAAAGCTCCGTGACCCTCCTCAAACAGTACCACAGAGGATCAACTGTCCAAATGCTTGGAGCCTATGGGCAACACTTACTCAAACCACCATATTTTACTCCCTCATGACCATATCAAAATGCAAAATGCACTTAGTCCATCTTTAAAAGTCCCCATAGTCTTTAAGTCTCAACGCTATTAAAAAGTCCAACATACAGTACACAGTTTTATCAGTGATGTTGGCTTTAGGATGACCGTGCAATCTGCCCTCGCTTACATTACTTTTATTTCTTTTGAATAATCCATAACAGATTATTTGAACAGATAGAATGCATGGTCATTGAGAGTCAGTCAGAACTGAACTAGTTATTTGTGGGTCAGGTCGGGAACTATCTTAAGGGGAGGTTTGTAACAATAACAACAAAATACTCCATCATTGTATAACCCCACTGAAGCCAAACAACATAAAACTCTATATCCCAGCACGCACTTTCTCTGAAAGACCTCAGTATAAATCAAGTGGCTATCAATGAACTATGGTTTGCTCTTTGAAGTGCCTTGTGTTTATTTTCTCTCATAGATGTCCTGTAAGTCACATTACTGTCCCCATTTGTAGACAAGGCAACATAGGTACAAAGATAATAAACAGGAAACTACATTCTGACCCAGAAAGTTGGAGCTCAGACAGTAGAGTGCTCTGCTGTTGGATCAGGCCTGGTCTGCAGCTCTACACGCATCAAACTCTGCTTGGCTTCCAGATGGCAGGATGAATAAGTCCAATTTGCTAAAAAACCAAGCAAGTTATTTCTAGTTACTAAAACACTGACGACTAAATGATAAAAGACGGTCATCCGAGGTATAGATACTTTAGGGTATGATCCATACCCTGTACACCTAGACTAGAGGGGTTTAAAAGACCCCAGGATTCAAAAATGAGAGCTTGGTGATGTCCTGGACAAAGATGGTCTG